TGCTGGGATTACAGGCGTGAGCCACCATGCCCAGTCTATTGATTTCTTAATACTTTTTTTCAAAAGAAATTAATTGAGCACTTTTTTTTTGTGTTAGACCTCATGAAAAGGATTGAGGTTACAACAGTGAATGACACCAGCATGATCTCTGCTCTCATGGAACTTTCCTACTGTGCCTACTGTCCATTCAGAGAAAAGTAGTCCTACCCACAGCCCTTGACAAGGAAAGCCCTGAGCAGTTATATTTTGTCCAATATGACCCCACACAAACATACCCATTCACTCACTACAGTTTAGTGAACCAGGACAGGTTCCTGGCCTAAGAGTAATCAACCCACCTGTTGGCCATTAACCTATAATTTGGCCTATTGTAGAAAAGGAAGTTTGGTTAGTTTGGTTCTCTCTCAATCTTTCAGGATACTACCGTTGGAAATTTAAAAAGGAAAACAACAAGGAAATTAGCCCAGGAACTGAAAGCTGAAAGGATGCATCCAGAGACCTTGAGGAAGGACAGGGTTCATAGTGAGGTAAACATAAGCAGAAGTTACCCATAAACACAGGCTGTGAGTCAAAGGAAACAATTCATTTCTGCAATAAATAATCACATCTTTTCTCTACCCCATTGCTGGGCCAAAAGAATTATTCTGCCTCCCTTATTGCTTCACATGTATCCTCTGAAAAATTATTCTTTTGACCCAGCAATTCCACTTCTGGGAATTTATCTTACAGATATACTTACTTACACAGGTGCTAAATGGCATTCATGTAAGGTTACTTGTTGCAATATTGTTTATAAGAGCAAAAGAGTAAGCAACCCAAATGTCCATCAGAAGGGGAATAAGATGAAATCATGATACATCTACATAATGGGCTATAACCTGCTTCAGAAACATTAGAATGCTTTCTTTACTGATGTAGAAATGTCTTTGAGCTGTATTACAGGTTAAAAAAGCAGAAGCAGAACCTTGGTGTGCTACTTTGGGAAAAGGAAAAATAAGCATATATATGCATCTTGCTAATATATATATTTTCAAAACTCTGGAAGGATATATAAGAAACTGATAACAGTGGTAACCAATGAGGGCTTGGGAAGTGAGCCAAAAGGGACAGAAATGAGAGGAAAACTGTTAAGAATTTGTTATTTGAACCATGTGAATGTATTACTTATTCAAAAATTAAACTTATGAAAAGCTTTTTAAACAAAAGGGGTGGGTGGAAGCAGCTGATCGTGGTTGAGAAGCAGATAGATATAAAAACAGGCCTCCAGAGAGCAGCTGAACCGGCTAATTGTGGGCAACACAGAGAATAATCACAGACTAAATCCAGAATGACCTTTAGTTTCAGGTACCACAAGGCCCAGTCTTACTGCTCTTTCTGGCCTTGGATTTATTTGCTGAGATTCTGCCTCGCTTATTGCTTCATATGGATCCTCTCAAGAAACACGTACTTACTTAACTCCTGAGTTTCTGTCTCTTAATCCAGTCTAAGAAGAACAGTTGAAAAAATGGTCTTCCCTGTAGTTGAGCCAGGAAGATAGAGGGTTTGAAATATTCTGTTTTCAAGAGTGGAGGGCAGGTATTCATGAAGGCACCAGTTTTCCACTCAGAAGGGAGTCAGGCACTAGATCAGTACAACCCTAATACCATTCTGGGGCTAGCACCTTGCCCCATGATTGCAAGTTTTGTTGAACTCCATCTTCCCTCCCCTGAGAAGGGGCCACCTGGTTGTCCTGGGGGCATCACCCCACTCTGAAGCAAGGCTGGGCCAGGGGTAAGGATTCCCAAGGCAGAGAGTGCTTGAGAGAGTGCACTCAAGGAGAGGAAAGCAAGCTGATTATTTGGGGTTCACATTATCAGGAAACCCCAGCATTAGGGTTGGGTCTGAGAAGGTGTTCAGTGTCTGAATAATGAAGGCCCAACCTGCTCACTGCTTTCTTTAGATTATTCTACGTCTAATCCAGTGGCAAGCACACAAAGGGCACTTTGATATAAGTGAGTGGAATGGATTCTGATGCCTCCAAACTTCAACCCTGAGCCTCGTTGGCTGTGCCCTAGGTGCCCCAGAACTCAGAAGACAGGTTGAGGAAGAGCATTGCCACTGATCACTCCTCTCTCAAATACCTCCGGCCGCTTCCATGGCTCCACCAGAGGCAGCAGAAAGGAGTTGAGGGACACACATCATTCTTCACTTGCGCTTTATTATACAGAAGAATCCAAATATTTACATCTTGACAATCCTTATACTTCAAGCAACTGGAGAGGGCATGGAACTGAAACCCAGAAGTGATGTGGAGGTGGTGGGTGGGAGAACTTGTTAAAGCAGAGCAGAGGTAGTTAGATGGTGCCAGACAGGATCAAGGATTCTAGCTACTGTAGCTCTGATGTTGGTTTATGAAATAAGAAGAAATAAAAAAATTAAAAAATTAAAAATGAGTAAAAATGTTTTAAAAAGGTAAAAAAAAAAAATTGAAGAAAAAATAGAACAACAAACAAAAAAGCGTTCTAGCAACTTCCCATCATCGTCACTCAGGCCTATTTATTGTCAGCTCTTCCTTTTTCCTTTCCCCTACTCTTTAGACCTTTTAGTCTTCCCAGAAAGGGAAACTAGAAAGATATTGGAGGCTAGAGGAGGAGAGAGGAAAGCAAGGAGAAGGCCAAGCTAGGGGCTGTGTTCATCCATAATCTTCAAATGTCAGCTCTGCATTTTTTGGATTTTACAAATTGGTATGTTCAAAGGTGCTTATAAAAACCATTTCTGCCATAAGAGGTTCTCTTCCACAAGTCGGTCTGAGATGTGATTGTGGTTGGCACCAGTTGCCAATGCACAGCACACAGAGCACAGGGCAACACACACCCAGTCAGCAGTCCTCAGTGTTGCCACCACTACAGCCCTCTTGGACAGATAATTCCCCATGGATACCATTTTGGAAGATTTTGTCAACCCAACAAAATGCATTTAGATGCACTGAATAATTTGTTTTTTGATTTTGTGATCAAAGACATACATAATCTTCATAATCTTCTGTGGATCATAATGAAGATAACCAAAGGAATAACATACTGACTTGCTAGAAATTCAGTCAAAATCAAAAAACAAAGAAACTGTACTACTCAGCTTTATTTTGGGTAAGTGTACATTGACTAGACTTTCCGAATAATGAAAATAGTTCATGGCAAACACCTCCGCTCCCTTCCTCCACACCTCTCCTCTAATGAGAAGGCTCAGCAGATGCTCCTCTGGCCAGCAGATGTCTGGAGCTTTAGAAGCGGATGACAAGGTGACAGTGGTGCCACCCTTGAGCTTGCAGCCAGAAATCACTGGTCCCCTTTTCATAGAAGAGGCCACCTATAGGGAGCAGTTCCTGTGACTCCTAAACCTCTAACACATGGCTACTGTGCTCCACCTCAACACAGACTCCCTAACTCCAAGGGGAACAATGATCACATGGCGGGGGCAGGAAGTGAGAAGGGATCTGGGGTGACTTTTTACAAGTCAAGGCTCCCAAAAACCGTACGAGTTTTGTCATCCCTGAGGCAAAGAACTCTTTTCCCTGATAAGAGTCACCAATTCTCAGTACTCAAAGTAGAGCAAACTCCTTCCTTTAAGGGCTCTTGATCAGCCCTAGGGAAATTGGAAGAGCAGGGTTCTCAAACAAACAACGGATAAATAAACCCGCCATCATTAGCGAGTACCTACACTGAGGCTGGCCTCATGGTAGGACCCCAAGGTTCTTCTGGGATTACAAGGTCAGCACATTCTGCTTCAGAGCCTATAAGAGACCAGGCAACTAGTCAGATAAGATTTAGAAAGGTATCAAGTTTCATCCATGGAGCTACCCTACCTACCTCAGCCAAGGCAGCCTTTTTGTCCTGTGTCAGAATTTCCACTAGGCATTGGGGACAGCAGGGAGATAGCAGAGAAGCTAAGCTGCAGAAACTTGAACTACAAAATTAGAAGAAGGGCTTTCTTCAGGTTTGTTGTTTTAATAGTGGAGCCCCTGGGGATACGGCCCGGCTGAGGACCATGCCAGAATTCAGGAAGAGGATTGTTTTCCATCTGGTCTCAGAATTCTAGACCCCTGTCCTCTAGATGTGACTGCTCTTGGGGTACCCCAGAGCAAGTCTTGCCCTTTGCTGAATCTTGGATTCTCTTTTTATGTCTCCAAGAATTACCTTTAATGTCTGGAAGGATGCCCCAGTCCTTACCACCTCACTCTCAGATCGAATGTGTGTGTGTCTGGGGCTGGATGAGGGGGGCATTCTGGAAATGCTCAGAGACACTTGGTAGACCATAGGTAGAAAGGTCATGAGGGGAGAGGCAGAAAGGTCAGTGGCCTATCTGAGGCACCCAGGGTCCCAGGTAACTACAATTTCCTAAAATTCAATACCTACATTTCAAATCTCTCCTGTTTTCTGGCTAAGGCCTCCTTGTCCCAAAGAATAGGCAGGACCTCGCTTGTGGTAGGAGGTAGCAGGGGGCATCTGATGGAGAAGCATAAGAAGGCAACTAAGAGCCAGAAGGAACCTAGACAGCCCTGCCAGGATCCAGGAACCCTACTATCCCTCTTGCAGCAGACAAACTTTCATTGGGGCTTAGGCTTGCTGGGGTTGATGGCAGGGTGGTGAGAGAATACACAGGGATCCCTTTCTCCCTGCCCCAACTCAGGGGTCTGAGTCTGGAACCACAATGGCAGGCTTCTCTTCATCCTTCCCAGCATAGGATAAGAGAGGTGGGAGGTAGTGTTGAGAGTCTCTACTGGTGGATGGAATCATCAGTTACCTCTGGCAGTTCATTCTAGGATCAGGGCTTTCAGGAAGTGGTGGCATTTTGTGATGTCACTGGGTAGCACTAGGTGGTACAGAGATGAGCTCCCTGGGAGAGAACAGTGCTAAGTTCTGTCATATTAATAGATATTCCAGGAACACCAAACAAGCAGACAAAAACCTGTTACCAAATAATTCAGGGAACTGGGTTAAACAAAGTTCAATAGATTTTACTACTGTAGGACTTCTCTCTTTTATTACACTAACATGCACTGTGAATCTCTAAGAAAAAGACATCATGTGGAATCTCTTCCAAAGCTTATTTTAATGGGAAGTCTTTATGCATGGCATATGTCAAGATTAATGGTACACAGAACACATTTTGTATCCTATCCATGAGTCACATGGGAAATCACCTTCCAGACCTTTCTCTGTGAGGTCTCCCTGTCCACTGTGCCCTGATCAATCCTTCACCCCTTCACTGTCTTTATTTCCCTCATTTCCCTTAAGCAACAGATGTCCAGGTCTCTGGTCCACAGCTTCAGACATGACAAGGAAGAGGCTCAGCATGAAGGTGAAACTGAGGAAGGCCAAGGGAAAGCCAGGCCAAGAGGCACTCGTTGGTGATAGTCACGGGAGAGAGGTGATCAGTGGAGCGAGGGACTGGGCTGAGTTTTGGTTGTATTTATTTTAGAAGCAGCCATCATTCACCGAGGGGGAGAGAGGAAAGGAAGAGAGGGGAAGAGAAGAATGGGGACGGATATTTACACGTGTGAAGCAAAGGCCAAGCCAGAGGGCCGAAAGCTGCCACCCCCTGATGAGCCTCCACCTGCTGGCATAGCTCCCTCTGCCCTCAGCAGCAGTTCTCCATCCAAGGAGGGTTGGGGGTTCCCAAAGTGATTCCCCTCTGGCTCTACACAATGGCTTCCCTCCAGCCTGGGGGCCCCTGGCTGCTGACAGATGAGGGTCACTGAGGGGAAGCCATACGTCTCCAGCCCAGGGGGCCGCCCAGCTTCAGAAGCTTCCAGAATGAGATCCACATCAGACAAGGCCACCAGGGCCTGGGTAGAATCGCAGGAGCTCTTCTCCAGCTCCCCGGCCGCAGCATAGGCTAGGGGCCCTGAGGCGCCTGCGCGGGGCCGAAGCCGCCGAAGGTCATCCCGGAAGTGGGGGTTGAAGAGCAGGTAGAGCAGTGGGTTGAGGCAGGCAGGCAGCGGCAGCACCACCAGCAGGACAGACTTGACGGCCTCGGGCGTGACAGGCAAGAGGCCCAGCATGGAGGCGAAGCTGAGGAAGGCCACGGGACAGTAGAGGAGCCCGTCTGCGAAGATGAGCCAGGCCACATGCCTCACCATGGCGCAGTCCCACACGGCCTCAAAGTCGCCCCGCGGCAGGTCACAGTAGAGTTTGATGTAGGCACCGGCCACGACCAGGAAACAGAAGGAGTTCATCATCACCAGGGCCACGGCGAAGCCCAGGGCTGCTGGCTGGCCCTCAGGCGGCGCGTAGGGCAGGCAGAGTGGGGAGGCCCCGTATTCTCCCACTGAGGCCAGGGGCAGCGCGGCCGCCAGCCCTGCCAGCGCCAGGCAGCCCAGGACCCCTGCTCGAACGCTGCCCAGGGAGGGGGACTTCCCATAGGCCCGGACGCAAGAGACAGAGATGCTGCACTGCACTGCGGCCAGAGTGAGCAGCAGCACCGACGCCTCCGATCCAAGTACTGCCAGGAAGCCAGTGACCCTGCAGCCCAGCCCCATCTCCCAGCGGGCTCCGTACTCGGAGAACTGGCCAAAGGTCAGGGCATCGACGGAGGCTAGAAGGCCACAGGAAATGCCAGTCAAGGTGTTGGCGCCTGCAATCGCACCTACCACAAACTTGACCGGGGGTAGGGGGACAGGGCCGCCAGCGAACACGGTCAGCAGCACCAGTCCATTGCAGAGCACAGAGAGCAACACGATGGCCCACACGGCCAGGCGGATGCCCCAGCTTTCAAAGAGGTGCTCACAGGGCTTGAAGGGGCCTGTAGGAGAGAAGATGAGACATTAACCCTGGGCCAGAGGATGTTGAGACCAGGTCTTGAGGACCAAGGTCAGCCTCTGTACTCAGAGAATTTCCAGTCAAAAGGGGATGAACATGGCCCCTGCCCTCGGAAAACTCCCAGTCTAAGGGAGGCTGACCCAGTTTCTGGCCCCGGAGAACTCCCAGTTGGAGGGTCTCTCACCTTAAAGAACCCCCAGCTGGGCTTGTGGGGAGGAGCAGTGGGACATACACGACTCTTCTTCCAAAGAGCTGCAAGTGGGGTGAACCCTAACCCTCCTCTCAGTACACCAGAACACAGAACGCATATAGGCCGGGCACAGTGGCTCACAACTGTAATTCCCGCACTTCTGGAGGCCAAGGCGGATGGATCGTCTGAGGTCAGGAGTTTGAGATCAGCCTGGCCAAAAAGCAAAACTCCTTCTCTACTACAAATACAAAAAATTAGCTGGCCGTGGTGGCGCGCACATGTAGTCCTAGCTACTTGGGAGACTGAGGCAGGAGAATCATTTGAACCCAGGGGACAGAGGTTGCAGTGAGCCGAGATTGCTCTACTGCACTCCAGCCTGGGCTACAGAGCAAGACTCTCTCAAAAAATAAAGAAAAAAATAAAAATAAAAAATAAACACACACACGGTACAAATTAATACAGTACAAACCCAGATATTGAGGAAATGTTACGTGAAGGATAGCACTGGAAAGAAAGGAAGGACAGGCTGCCATCAAGGAGTGGAGAAGGTATCAGAATTGGAAGATACGGTGGGTAGGGACAGAGGTGTGAGGGACTGCCCAGACAGTAACCAGTCTATGCCTGAGGCTCTGTTTCTTTCAGTCAGTCCCCAGTGATCCACTAAGGCCTCCACCGTGGGAGAGTCCTGACCAAATATTACACCAGGCTGGCTCTCCCTTATTCTGTGACAGGGGTACAGACCACATTGAATATTTGTCAATCAATCAGTATTTGGGAGGTAAAGTGTCTCAAGTACAGTAAATCAAAATACAGATGACTTCTGGGGTTTTCCAACCTGGGTCCACACGAGATGCCTGAGATCCTGGTGTTTTCCATCCCTCTCTCCAAAGTCTGTTCCTAAATCACCTTGTAACTTTGGAAATATTATTTCTTCATTTTCTTTGGCTTTTGACTCTTGTTCTTCAGTGTGTTTCTAGGTAGCATGGGAATTTGAGAGGCTTTTGTGGGAGCTATTTTTAAACCATTTTTTCTTATTACCAAATATAATAGGTGATAATTGTAGAAAATTTGAAAATATAACACGAAAAAATTAAAATGACATGATACTTCACCTCTCAGAGATAACTCATTATCTTGGTATGTTTCTGTCCAGTCTTTAAAAAATACATACATACATACAGGTTTTTAAACTAAATTAAGATTTTACTGCTGCTATCATTTGGGTACGGTTTGTCTCCACCAAAACTCATGCTGAAGTGGAATCCCCAATGTGGCAATGTTGGAGGTAGGGCCTAGTGGGAGGTATCTGGATCATGGGATCCCTCAGGAACAGATTAATGTCCTTCTGTGGGGGTGAGTGAGTTCTCAATCAATCCAGGGAATGGATTAGTTCCCTAAGAGTGGGTTGTTAAAGGGAGTCTGGCTTTTCTTTCACCCTGTGATCTATTTGCACTCCCCTTCTGCTTTCCACCACAAGTTGAAGCAGCCTGAGGCCCTCATCACATGCAGCTGCCCAATCTTGAACCTCCCAGCCACCAGAATTGTGAGTCAAACCAACCTCTTTCCTTTATAAATTACCTAGCCTTAGGTGTTCTGTTATAGCAACACAAAGTGGACTAAGACAACTGTATATGCGTTTCTCGTTCTCTTTAAGCTACATTTTTATCAAGCAGACTTTCCCAAATTTTTCCCCAGAACATATCTTTATATTATTCAAAACATATTTCATGTACCATAAAATGTACCATAATTATTTGACCATTTGGTATGAATTATTTTAAAAGCAAGCTCAAGTTGGACTTTGTCTTTTGGAACTTCCTTTTTTATGTCATCCCTGCTGATTACTGGTTTTCAGAGGTGAAATTTCCATGGCATCGTGAATGCAGCATGTGTGTTTTTCCAAGTCAGAAGCAGCACCTGCTTCCTCCAGGTCGGGTTAGTGTTCTGGCCCCGAGCTGGCACTAGAGGGCGTGCTGTTGTCACCAAGCACTGAGAACTCGGGCTGGGCAAGGTCAGGCAATCACTCTATAGGCTTTAGAGAGGGTAAAGGGAGAAGGCAAGGGTCCTGGGCCAGAGAAAGCTGGAAAACAGGAAAATGGAGGTGGAATGAAAAGGAAGAAGCACACTGTTCATTACTTTCTGTCCATTCTGACGAGTTCTCATCCTTGCCTAAGTAGCATGCTGCTTGCTACCTTCTGTGGCCCCTTAGCATTTTATATGCAAGGGAAGTGACTTCCTCACTCTAAACATCTCCAGTTGAATTGCACCAAAGAGAAAGAGAATTTTCTTTTTTGCTTTCTTTATAGCAAGATGAATTTAGGTTAGACGCTAAAGGAGACTTCCCCAACTGTAAGGGTTAGATGGTGCTGTAAGGAGTTGCCCAGGAATACTATGGAGTTTTTCCACTGTGCAGAGTTTTAACAGAGACTGTAATCTTCCTGGGATGGAGTAGGGAGGGATGGAGAAGGTGACCTTTCGGAGTCCCATCTGGCTCTAGGATTCTGTGGTATGGGTCTTAGACTGAGGGATTACTCAAAAGCAGTCCTATGTGCCACCCTGAGCAATAGGGTCAAGGCATTCTTTCCTGCTTCTCTCCTGTGTGACAGTAGTTTTCTCCTGGATGCACAAATGCTAATTGGCTGATTGCTTGACTTCGCCTCCATTCATGCTACTCCCCTCAAGCAGTCACCCAAGGGAAAGAACTCCAGTTCCTTCCCCAGGAATTATGAAAGGAGGGCCCTCCTGCAGCAGGCTGGGAGTCAGGCAAAGAATGTGGCTGCAGACATGCCTGGCTGAACTAATACCTCAACTAGGTGTTTGGGTACCCTTTCTCCATTCCCCCTCGTCCCCATTCCCCAGACACCACCTCACCTGGAGTAGGGCTACACTGGACACTGGGGTGTGGCTTTGAGTCCTCCATCTCCAGCTGGAGCTCATCTAGGTCCAGGTCATCTGAAAGGAGAGAAAGTGATGCAGGGCCCTGGGTCTTGGTGTCAGTCAAGCCCTACCTTTCTCCAAATGCCCTCTCCTTTAAGTTGTCTCCTACTAACTCTGCTCAGCCCTGGTCATTCCAGCAACCCTGCACATCCATTTCTACCCTTGGGGGTAAAGATTTGGTCAGCTTCCTATTATCCACATGTGGATAATAGGATAATAGGAAATGTTTGCACAGCAAACATTTCACCTAGACTTTCTCTTTCTATTAGTCAGGGCTCTGTGTCCTCTCCAGTTGGCCTTACCCACAAGTGCTGCTTCGAGTTGGAGTGGAAGCTCTTTTAATAATGTATGCTAGTGATCACACATTTCTCTACTCTGGCTGGGCTGTCACTGTAATTTTGTGTACAGTTGTGAAAACTACACATTAAGAAAAACATTAGTGAGCCAGAGTGTGTTCAGATGTGAACGAGTGAACTAGGGGGGAGACAGCAGAAGCCATTTGTGAGAGAAACAGTCAAAGCAACTGGGCAGTGTTTAACTTGGAGGAGGTAAGAGTGAGTGGGGATATGATGGCTGTCCTCAAAGGGCTGAAGGACTGTTAGGGGTAAAGGAATTCGACTTCTACATGCTGTTTTGCCCCAGAGGGTAGAACCAGGATCGATGGATGGACTGTAGAAGGAGGCAAATTATGATTCAAATGGAGACACTCTACTTCTTCCTAACAAGAGTAAGTTCCCACAATTAGAGCTGTCCAAAAAAGGAACAACCCAGCTTCAACAGGTGCAGAGTAGGTCCACATCTGCTGAGTGCAATTCTGGCACTGGGCAAATTCAGAAGAATTTCAGGGATGAATAAGATATGGCCCTGCTCTCAAAGAGCTTGTGCAGACTAATAAGGAAACAAATTGTCATGCTACAATGAGTGGCATCAACTAACAGATTTATTTCCTAGATAGAAGGGAATAATTTGAATGTTTCTAGCATAAAGAAAAGACAAACATTTAAGGCAAAGGATATCCTGATTACTCTGATTTGATCTTTATATACATTATATGAATGTATTAAATAATCACACATGCCCCCCCAAATACATACGTCTATTATATATCAATTAGAAAAAAATTTTCAGCTAATAGATTTACTGAACAATAAGAGTTAACATTTCTTGGCCGGACGCGGTGGCTCAAGCCTGTAATCCCAGCACTTTGGGAGGCCGAGACGGGCGGATCACGAGGTCAGGAGATCGAGACCATCCTGGCTAACACGGTGAAACCCCGTCTCTACTAAAAAATACAAAAAACTAGCCGGGCGCGGTGGCGGGCGCCTGTAATCCCAGCTATTCGGGAGGCTGAGGCAGGAGAATGGCGTGAACCCGGGAGGCGGAGCTTGCAGTGAGCTGAGATCCGGCCACTGCACTCCCGCCTGGGCGGCAGAGCGAGACTCCGTCTCAAAAAAAAAAAAAAAAAGAGTTAACATTTCTTGAGTTCTTATTCTGTACCAGGTACTGTGCCCAGCCAGTCCTCATCTTCATGGTCCCATTAACCCTCACAACAGTCACACGAGGCAGGTGACAGATAAGGAGACTGAGGCTCATTGAAGTTAAGTGTCTTACCCGCAGCCTCACAGCAATAGACTAGAATTCAGATGCAGGTTTGTCTGACTACAGAGCCCAGATGTTTAACCATTATGCTTTCCCAGGCAAGCAACCAATTGCTTTGGGGGGTCAGGGTATGGGGAGGGTTCAGGAGATTTACGGGTGCATGAGCTGAACATAATTTGTCACTGATGATACTAAACAGAAAGTCCTCAATGTGAGAGAAAGCATTTCTACACTGAGTCAGAGGCTGGACTAGATCATCTTTAATGTTCTTTTCAATTCTAAGTCCAGGTTTTATACTTCCTTTTTTTTTTTTAGATGGGGTCTCCCTCTCTTGCCCAGGCTGGAGAACAGTGGCGTGATCTTGGCTCACTGCAAGCTCTGCCTCCCGGGTTCACGCCATTCTCCTGCCTCAGCCTCCCAAATAGCTGGGACTACAGGTGCCCACCACCACACCCAGCTAATTTTTTGTATTTTTAGTAGAGACGGGGTTTCACGGTGTTAGCCAGGATGGTCTTGATCTCCTGACATTGTGATCTGCCCACCTTGGCCTCCCAAAGTGCTGGGATTACAGGCATGAGCCACTGCACCCCGCCCTACGCTTTTTTTTTTTCTTATTCATTACTGCGGTGTTTCTCAAACTAGGGCCTGTGAACTCTAGGGCGTTGCAGACATGCTGGAAGTCCACAAATTCTATAAGAATTTTGAAATGAGAATCTAGAACATTTTATAATCTATAAAGACAAAACATTTTTTTGCCGTGATAATCCATCATTGAAAAGCTCTTTAAAGAATAAGACAAGTTTCTCAAGTCAGACTGGGAAATGTGTCTGAGGACCCAAGTTTGGGAAAGAATGGCTTGTCTTCAAAAGGTAACTGTACAATCTTCAGGTTTAAGAGATAGCACCCTGTGGGCTCTTCCTCCATCAGGCAGAGCAATGGATAGGTGACTCTGTTTGTTGCACTTGTTCCAACTTTGGTTCACAAAGTCTGTTTCCTGTGTGGATCCTTCCTCCCCACTTAAAGGGTAAACACCATCAGTTGGGAGTTTTCCCAGGAGGCAGGAAGACTGTGAAGCTGCCCCTGGCCCAGACACCATCAGGGCAGGTAGGAGGCTGAGTTGTGCCCACAGAGTCCTGGCATTTCCTCCTCTCTACCTTTCACTCCCTGCCCGCCCCTGCTCTCCAGAATGGAGCTCAGCAATTCTTTGAAATCAAAATGCATGAATGAAATGCAAGAGGTGAAACCCGTGGACTCTGTCTGAGGCTGGGAAAGTCACAGCCAAGGTGTTAAGTAACCACTCTTCAAACGAGGAGGAAATCGAATCTGGCTGGAGCAGCAGCTCCTGGCTTTCCTTCTCGAGGCTCATTAGCTCCCACAGGAAGTGGGGGGCCCTGCCCTGGCTCCCATTACAGGCGGCAGGCAGCCCACGATCTTGACGCCCTGTGGTTCTCCAAGACCTAAGCCCGGTGGAAAGTTTCACCTTGAGGAAGGAAAGTTTCCATTCCCCCTTCCAGCCCCCTGAGGGAGTGTACAGCAGACATCCGGGAATGTCCCCCGGGGACAGCCGTCTGCCGGCCCAGAGCCAGCCAGGCTGCTGGGCTGCTCCTCATCGGGTCCTCATACCCTCCCTAGGAGGTGTGTTAATACATTGGGAAGACGGCTCTCAGAGACCCCCAGGTTGCCTGCCCACCATTTGCCCTCCATACACTGTGCCCTGGACTCCACAGTTGCACTCTCCCTATACATGTACACCAGAAGGCACCAGTCCTCAGTAGTAGTGGTGAGCATACTTCATCATTTATGGAATCTTTTAGTCTTCCCCAACAGCCTGTGAGCTATCCATTATCTTTCTTATTTACTTATTTATTTATTTAGTTTTTTGTGACAGAGTCTCACTCTGTCACCCAGGCTGGAGTTTGCAGTGGTGCGATCTCAACTCACTATGACCTCCACCTCCTGGGTTCAAGCCACTCTCCTGTCCCAGCCTCCTGAGTAGCTGGGACTACAGGCGCATGCCACCATGCCTGGCTAATTTTTGTATTTTTGGTAGAGATGGGGTTTTACCATGTTGGCCGGGCTGGTCTTGAACTCCTGACCTCAAGTGATCCACCCACCTCGGCCTTCCGAAGTGCTGGAATTACAGGCATGAGCCACTGCACCCAGCCAATTATCTTTCTCATTTAAAGATAAGGAAAGTGAGGCTCAGTATGATTACATGACTGGTCCAATGCAATCCAACTGCTGAATGTAGTAGTTGGGTTTGGACCTCAGTTCTGTCTACACTGTCATGAGATGTTTTTCTTACATGTTTATATTTGATTTTTGTTTGTTTGTTTATTTTCTCCATTGAAATATGGTGGAGAGTGAGAGATGGAAAAAGAATACCCCAAAGCAGAGGACCCCCACTCTCTCCCTCCTAATTCTACTTGTGTTCTGTAATATGGGCAGAGGGAGAAGGAAGCCCTTTTCTCTGCCCTTAGTATCTAAGACACCACTTAGTAAATGATCCCTCAGAACCCCCTTGGCTGCCTGCCTCCAACATGTGCCTTTTACCCTAACTCTTCCAGAAACACAGATGGCCCAAGATAGCTTGCACTCGATAGGCCGTTCTCAGTGAAGGTCTCTTGCACCTGGTGGCCACGGAAGTCTCACTTTCAGACTCATGGGGCAGACTAGAGGTGCAGCATGGACTTGGATAGCAATAACACTGCACTGTTCCTTTTGGTTCTAGGACACATTATGAGGGGATTTGTTTTTTCTGGAAGTAGGTTTAATTCAATTGATTTAATTAAATCATATTGGCTCAGATTGATAAAATAAGGAGTCTGTCTTCTCTGAGAACACCCTGAGGTTGAAAGAGAAGAAACATGTGGACCATAAGGGGAGGGTTAAGTGAGATGGTGCGTGAGAGGCACTTTGTGAACTGCAAAGGGCTAGGCAGATATTGAGACATTACCACAACCATTGTTGCCATCATTACTTCGTCCCAAGCACCGATGGGTGTAGTCTTAGAGAGACAAAGTGCAAACAGAGGTAGAGTTTCCTCCCAGATCACGGGCAGCTCCTCCCACCTCTGTGGGGCTTCCCTCCGCAGCCACTGTCAGATTCCCTCTCCGGTCCCCCAAGCATCCCTTCTAACTTCCTCTCCAGAGCCCACCACCCTCCCCAGCCCAGGGCCCCCAGTCACTCACAGTGGTTCTCTGCTTGTCTGGAAAGGAGGCCAAGCGGCCGTTTTGAAGACTCCTCATCATCAAGGTGAAGGTCTTCAGCCTCCCATTGCCCAGAGGCCTTGAAGAAGCTGGCACACATCCCATAGGGACAGCACTGGTAGGCATAAGGCACCTCCAGGATCCTGGTGGGGGAAAGACGGGCAGGTGGGCTGCCTCAGCATCTTTGGGGTCTAAGACCTAAGTCTGATTTAAGAGATCTCCAATCCAGGGGCTGGGCACTCAGTGCCTGTCCTTCAACTCCCAAGTTCCCTGTTCACTGTGCTGGCAGCCTCCTAGGCATTCTTCGTAAGGGCCTTGTAGCCTGACTCCTGATCTGAAGGGCTCTGGAGGCGTTTCTGTCTTTCTTTGTTCATCTTGGCAAGTGAGATGGGGAAAGAAACGTTCTGCCCATTGTTTAAGGAGTCCTCTCTGCTGGCTCAGAGCGGGGAGAGGCTTCCCCAAGGTCACACAGCACTGCCAGTGCTCTGCTTCTCCTCCCAGGCAGCGCCTCCTCTTTTATATTTAAGGAGACAGGGATTCTCCTGGTGATTCTTCACTCTGGCCCTCAGTGAGGCCTGCATCCTACCCTCCCCCATCTCTGGGCACATTGGAGCTGGATTTGGTGCCCTCTGAGGGTGAGTGCAGAGGCCCTAAGGGCATCTCATTAGTGTGCAGCAGATGAGGCTTGGGCCACACAGGCTGCACCACTGCTGCTGCATGGAAGAGGCCTGGATGTCATTAGCACCACAGCCTGGCTGTGCAGCTTGTTTTCCACCCATCAGTGTCCTAGGCTCTACCCTGATTCCAGGGGCTCAGATGCTGCCCAAGTGAGGACAGACAATCTAGACATGTGGAAATAGGTGAGGTACAAGGAGGGCTAGGGGGTCTTCACATCATCTTACTTCTATCCTCTCGGGTCCCAGTGCTCATTAGCGTTGGTGCTTGGGACAGGGTAAAATGCCACCAAGGAGATAAGGAGGAAGGAGAGGCATGAACCAGGCCCCATTCGGTCTGTAGGCGGTCAGGTGAGCCCTTCCACTAAATCTTGGTCAAACCTAAGCCTCTAGGCTCTTCTCAGGGTAGAACCGTCTGGCTTTCTCCCTGTCCCTCCAGGGCCTGCAGCTGGCCTACCCAGGTGTTGGGGAAAGCCAGTCTCTCACCTCAGTTTTGGGAAACTGTCCTTGGAGAAGGCCTGGGAGAGAGCCATGTTCCCTTTGAGCTTCAGATGCATCAAGCTCCCAAGTCCAGCCAGGGGCAGTGTGGTCAGCTGGTTGTCTGTCAGGTCCCTAGGACAGTGGATGGTCAGGGTTATTGGCAGTCAGTGGGATTGCTGAGGGGGCAGGGTTGTGCTGAGGATGTGGCCAGTGTGCCTGGGATGGAAGCAAGAAGAGAGGAGCAAAGGACAGAAGAGAAGCTTAGAAGAGAGCACTGAATGCCGAGGGAAGAGGGCAGCCAAGAGTTGCTAGAGGCACCATCTGCAGGTTGTTCATTCTTTTATTCACTCATTCATTCAATACATCATGGTGCCAACTATGTACCAGGGACTGTTCTGACTTAATGCCAAGCTATCCCAATTTGTAGGTAACAGAGCTCCCTCAACCACTTAGTTCCTGTGCCCAGGTCTAAGTGCCATCCAGGAAGCCCTGCCCACCCCCTTGGGGAACCTTCCTGTTGTTGTTTATCCCCATCCCCCTGCCTTTCCTCTGACATTTCTGATGATATAAGAGGCCTGAGTCTGGGACTAGACAGAGCTGGTCATCTGGCTACAAGCAGGGATTGGGTCATCCATTCCATCTTGTAGGGCTTGCTTTGTTGCCAGAAGTGAGGACATGCATGTTCTTCTACTGGAGACACGTTAGAGGAAGCCCAGGGTTCCAAACCAAACATGAAGACCACAGACTGTGCGTCGTGGAAACAGCCCTGGACTGGAAGGCAGGAAACCTGGCGCTGTCACCAACTTCTGTGTAACTAAGGGGAGCTGCAAATCTGCCTGAGCTTCAGTGTCCTCATCTTTCAAAGGGATAAAAATATCCACCCTACCTATCTGGCAGGACTAGAGCAAACAGGAGAGGGAAGATGGAGGTGAGAGTTTTGCAAAGCCACGGCCCCAGCCTGAGGAGGAACTTGTGTGCCCACTGGGAGTCCTGGCCCTTGGCTTTGAGCAAACTTCTCCTGCTGGGCCTTGGAGGCCTCACCTGTGAAGTGAAGCGGGTGGGGCTAGATGGTCTCTGAGGCCAGGGCCAGAGCTAGCCCAAAGGAGTCTTTGTGTTAACCAGAAAAAGGCCCAGTCTAGGTAGATGTGCTTTTAGGACTCACAGCTTGGCAAGGATGTCAGCTCCCTCTTGGGCAGGAGCCCTTGCACAGTGAATAACCTGCCCCACAGTACATGGCAGCTGCAGCAGAGGCCCCTTCCAGCCCTGACATAATGACCATATAGCCAACACTGCTCACTTTCTGTTTATATCCCATGTAATTCGAAGGACCTGAGGTCCCCTGCTGCTTCACAGAATGGCAGTCCTCTACAGCAATGCTCAAGCAGGGAACCCCTGAGCTCTCTGAGACCCTGGCTCTCACATCTACTTCTACCCTCCTCTGTGTGAAGGGATTCCAGGACCAATACATCCTCTTTATCGGTGGATAGAGAGGATGGGGGTGGGACCCAGGCAGGGGAGATGAGGAGGGCTGAGGCTGCCAAAACACTGCAGAACATTAGCAGATGATATTCCAGAGCTTGCAAGGGGCAGGCTCTCTGTTTATCAGGCCCTACACTCTGTCAAACGGATTGTCAGAATGATTGATTAGGCTGAGGCCCATCTCCTTGGGATATACATGTTCCTGCTCTGGGGTGGCCCTTCTGCCCCCATTGGCCAGCCCATAGTCCCGACTGGCCCCCAGCATCCTGGAGGAGAATGCAGCAGGCACTTACAGCTTGACCAGGGAGCGCAAGGTGGAGAAGGCCTCGGGGTGGATGGACCGGATGGCATTCCAGCTAAGATCCCTGCAGGTAGAGAGGGTGTGACAGGAGGGGATAGTAACATATGGAGGACTCACTGTTCCCACCACAGGCTCTCCCTCACATACCCCCATCTGACCTGCCCCCAGTAACTGTAACCTTAGCCTTTTGGGGAAGGTACCTGCTGCTGCCCAGTTCCTGAGCTGGCTGTGGCCCCAGGAACAGGGACATGACAGCTTGGTTCCAGAGCCTCAAGACCTCCTGGGTACCAGCTAGAGAAGTGTGTGTGTGTGCTGGGGATGGGGGCTACAGAGCTGGGAGGCGATGTGCATGTCACGTTTGCTTAAATTGTACACATGTGCTATGACAATGAGCATGCCTGGCAGAGGGACATGGTGGCTCCTCCATGGCCCACCCCTGGATGTGGGTACTCACAGGGCTTGCAGTGAGCTCAGCTGTCTGAAGGTGTCAGCTCCAATTTCCCAGATGCGATTGTGTTGGAGGCCGCTAGAGCAGCAAGAGAGGCTGGATGAGTCGGCAGGCTCAGACCCTGGCTCCGCTCCATGCCCCCCGAGCACTGGGAGGAAGAAAGTAGAGCCCCCCACTTCTCCTGGCACAGGAAGAAAGGGCCCAGCCCGAGGAAGTCACCAGAATTAAAGGGAGCACAAGGGGATCCGGTTGCCTTGGGTAAGTGGGTCAGGAGACAAAGCCACAAAACCATCCCCATGGCCCAAAAGGGAGTCAGCTTCCAGTGTTCCCACTGGGCCTGGCTCCCAGCCCAGCCAAACTGGCCCCCACACCTCCCATCACCATGGGTCCTCCAGACCCTAGCCCAGAAGCAGAGCACCGCCCAACCCAAGTGACTGGCCCAAGCTGGGAAGCAGAGCTCAGTAGACTGGTTGTCTGAACGGGAGATGGACCCTGGACCTCAGTCATGCAGAAGGCTCTCCTTCCCTTGGCACCTAGACAAACAGGAGACCCTCATACCTCTACCCTGCCCCAGCCCCAAAAGGTATGGTCCTGCCTAGAAGTAGGGGACAGACACAGGGAGGCTCAAGAGGCCATGCTGACTTGAGAAAACAGGAGCTGGGTTAACAGAGCTTAGAGAATTTTTCAAATGATATTTTATTTGTGACCTTTGAATCCCAGGCTTGTTCTTCCACATATGATTGTGTATGTCTGTGTATAACATGCAAACATACACACATATGCATGTGTGTGTTTACGGGGGTATGGAAAAGGAGAGAGCATCCTCCAAAATGCAGGGTGCTTGCAATTACTTAAAGCCTTCTTCGGTCCAGCCCACTGGGCCCTGATGTGATCCTGTCCCTCCACTGGTCGTAATCACTACTGCATTTCTGTGTTGCTACTGATTCATAAGGAGCGGCCTTGAGACTTCTTTTAGGTACCAGCTCCTGGGTCTGTCTTCTATTGTGAGTCCTAGGGCCATTGTGCAGGCCTCTGCCAAGCTCTCAGCCCTAAACCCTGGGTTCAACAAACTCAGAAAAGAGAAGGAAGCAGTGTCAGAGTTTGCATTGGCCCTTACTGATGCCCTGCAACATGCCTCCCTGCAGGACTTTCCCAGGGTCTGGCTGGCATGCCTTTGCCTCTTCCCCACCCCAGACTCACATTTCCTCCAATTTCTGACACCTGTGCAGGCTGGGCAGCTCCTCAATTTGATTGTGAGACAGTTCCCTGGGGAAAAGAGAAAGGCCAGGGCCGGGATGAAGTGGTGGCTATGTGAGGGCTGTGGTGGGGCAGGGGGCTCTGGCCAGGGCTGTGCTTTCCTGTCAGGCAGCCAAAGGCTGTGGGGACCCCACAGGGACATGGCTGTTGAGGCATCTCACACCAGGGCACCAGTCTCCTCAATTTGTTTTCTCTGCATTTCCTCCTACTAAGTCCCACTCCTCACTGGGCCTAGATGGGGCTACCTTATCCCGTGATGGCCTGAGGAAACCTGGTAGGGTCCTGGAGGAAGACGAACAGGAAGTGAGAGGGGCGTGGTGAAGAGGAAAGAGGCAAAGAGTCGGGAAGAAGGGCACTGAGCCAGGCAGCAGAGAACACATTGGACCTCACTGAGCAATGCCAACCCAAGCACCTGCAGTCACCATTTATGGAGCTGGCAGGAAAGATCAGAGCTGGAGGCCCTTAGGGATCATCTGGCCCAACCCTTTCACTCAGCAGATGAGAAACCTGAGGCCCACAGAGGGGACAGGACCTGCTAAAGGACATACACCACTCAGTGGCAAGGATGAATCTGGAGCCCGTGTCTCTGGACCCCCAGTCTAGGGCTGTTTCCATACACTGTATGTTGGTCCACCCATCTTGAGCTGTGGGGCTATGGTCCCTGATGAGGAGCCTCAGACTCAAGTTGGAGTCCAAGCAAAGAGGAAAACTCCCCTTGACTTCAGAGGCCACTTAAGTACCTCCACAGGCCCAAGATCCCAAGAGGGGATTAATTTTCTTGTGTAAATTAGAGTAATTATGTCATTTATTGGTATTATGCACTAGGTGCTTTACATGTTTTTTTCAACCCTTACAAATTGACTTACATTTTATAGACGAGGATACTGAAGCTCAGAGACATTAAAGAGTGAGTCCAAATCAATACAGCTAGTAAGTGGCAGAGCTGCACTTCAAACCCGGTCCTTCTGGGGTAGGCTCTCAGCAGGAGCCTATGCTGCCCCACTCTCCAGGAAGGGAAGTGACCAAGTGGGACAGAAGCAGGAGAGGCCTTCTGTGGGACATGGGGGCAGGGGCACAATGCCAAGACTGTAGAATGCTTGTGAGCACTCACAAGACTCGGAGCCTGGGCAGCTGTTGGCACATCCCCGATGGGAGCAGCCGGATGCCTGCGCGGGTCAGGGTCCTGCAGGGAGAACAGAGACAGAGCTGGCACCAGGCCCGGGGCCCTGCCATTCCCAGCCACCCGGCTCCAGCTCTGGACCTGATACTGTCGTGGGATGACGGAGCTAACAAAAGAGAGAAATGGAGGGAGAGACAGGACAGGGGGTGGGGCTGTGGGGACAGAAATGAGCAGACACTGGCATCTGAGCACCAAGCTCCCTTGGGCCTAGAGGAGCTGGGGGAGGGGAGTGGAGCGAGAGGGCCACAACCCAGGGCTCTGCTTGGCAGACTGTGCTTGCATGTCCAGCCCTGCTCCAGCCATCTCCATCCCATCCCCCCTCCATGTCTTATAATGGTCTCAAGCAGCACTGGGCCTGTAGGACAGGGACACAAATCTTCTCGGTGAAGGGACCTTAGAGACAGGGGGATGTCCATGGGCAAATGTAGACAAAAAAACACCATAGTGGGACCATGGGAACCAGGCACAGAGTTTGGTCCCTGTGCCTCAGAGGAGGGAGTAGAGATGGGAAAGAAGGGAAGAACCAGGTGCTGGGCTGGAGACGACTGTGGGGGCAGGTTGGAGAGCAGGCCTGGCTTTGGGTAGGGTGTCCCAGGAAGGACTCAAGGCCAAGGTCATCTTTGGGGACTGACTAGTTCCTCATGGAAAATTTTCCACGTGCCAGTGAATCTAGCGGGGAGACAATGGAAGCACAGAGGACAGCCCCAGTCCCAGCGGTGCCATGAATGAGCTTTGCGGTGTGGGGCAGGGCAGTTGACTTCCTGACACTTACTCTGGGTGTTTGCGCGATAGTTTCATTTCATTCATTTAAATGTATCGAGGGCCTACAGTGCTTCGACACTCCTGCCCTCTACGCCACAGGATATAAGAATAGAAAATACAAGAACGTCTTTGTTGGATCAAGCTTCAGAAAGGCAAAGAAGATGGGTTTTCACAACCCTCCTCTCCATCACTTCAACCCTCAATGTATCTGTGGCTTGGGGTTAGGGGCTCTGAATTCATACCTGAAAACCCCAAGCATGATAAAGAGAGAAAGACCAGTCTCCTTGCTGCCATCCCATCTGCCACCTCCTGACCTTGCCTGTGGGCAGTGCTACATCAGGAGGAAGGGGATGGAGCCAACAGTAGAGACAGGCTGGATAAAAGGGAAGCAAGGAACCTAGACAGCCTTCTAGGGGCAGGGAGTGGAAGAGCCCTTGGGAATGAAGCTGGGGCGATAGATAAAGTGGAGGGAGAGAAGCCACTCACAGAATCTCCAGGCTGGTGGTGCCTTTGAGATCTGGAAACTCCTGGATGTCCGTGGCACCATTCAGAGATCTGGAAACAGAGACAATGAGCTCTGAGGGGTGGAGTCAGAGCATCTCAACATCAAGACTCTCAATTCTCCATTTTGTCTCCCTCCGGGACTCCTTCTTTGGTGGCAATGTCATGCTTCCCTGCAGTATTCCTCAAGTCAGCTACGCAGGCCCTCGTGGAGGCTGAGCCATGCTTAGCAGGGTCCAACCAGCCATTTGCTTGAGTTTGCTTAGCACACCCTCACCCAGACAGAGCTGTGCAACCTTAGCATTCGCGCTTCATCTTGCAAAAACCCCACAGCCAAGCAACATGGGAATGGCCTTTGGTTAATAGACAACAGCTTGGGTGCTTCTGGAGAAACCCTTGGCTGCTGGGTTTTGCTTATTAGAACCTGAGATAGGGTCTCCCCTAAATTGTCATCTGCTGGAACTTTATTAGAACTATCAGTTCTCTTAAACTGCTTTAGACTGGTGGTTTTCCTCCTCCCCACCATCTCCTATCTTACTGAGGACATGGACCCACATGGGGCCTGCATGCAACAGCAGCGCAGAAAATTGAGTGTTGTGAAAAGTCCCGAGGAGGCAGCATGGGGACCAGAAATGAGCCCAGAATCTGAAATTAAAGGGTTCTGGGTTCATGCCCAAGCAGGGCCTGAGTACCTCATGTTCCACCTGTAAAATGGACCAATAACACCTACCTCGCAGGGTTAGGATGAAGATGAAATGCCCTAACGAACATGAAGGTTAAGTATATGCTTTGGAGATGTCGGTTATGTTACTGTGACGCCACAGTAGGCTGACAGCAATCCACAGAAGTTTTTTTTTGTTGTTCTTTTTTTTCCTGAGACTGAGTCTTGGTTCACTGCAACTTCAGCCTCCCAGGTTCAAGCGATTCTCCTGCCTCAGTCTCCCAAGTAGCTTAGCTGGGACTACAGCCATGCACCACCACATCTGGCTAATTTTTGTATTTCTATTTTGAGACAGAGTTTCATTCTTGTTGCCCAGGCTGGAGTGCAATGGTGCGATCTCGGCTCACTGCAACCTCTGCCTCCCGGATTCAAGAGAGTCCCCTGCCTCAGTCTCCTGAGTAGCTGGGATTACAGGTGCCCACCACCACACCTGGCTACTTTTTTGTATTTTTAGTAGAGATAGGGTTTCACCATATTGGCCAGGCTGGTCTCAAACTCCTGACCTTAAGCGATCCACCCACCTCCCAAAGTGCTGGGATTACAGACATGAGCCACTGTGTCTGGCCCTGTGGAAGCTTTTTGAAGAAGTGTGACCTGGGCTGGAAATTAGAGAATGAGAGAGGAGAAATAGAGAGCACCTTCAGGCCAAGGGTGATAACAATGGCATAGCAAAGGACCCAGGGATCTGGGTTCCAAGGCCACAGGAGAACCAGCCTTGAGAACACACCATATTCAAAACTCTTTCCCAATTATTTCTGGAAAAGCTAACATGAACAGGATAAAGTCCAAGAGGCCAGATGAAAGTCCTTGACTATGGAAATGGACCTTCTTTGCCCCTTTGAGACCTGGGAAGAAGCCACAGGTCAGGGAAGTGGAGGGAGGCTATTGAATTTAGAAAGAGGTGGGAACGGGTTTGAGCAAAGCAGAGGCCTGCAGCCTTAAAGACCGTGCTTTGCAGTGGACTTGTGCCTTGCAAGGGAGAGATCCGCAGGTGGAAGGCAGGAGAGAGCAAGAAGAAGTGAGGAAAGGGGGAGGTTCAGGCTGCAGCAGCCTTTAGGAGCCAACTTACAGTGTGTGGAGTTTAGGCAGGTACTGAAATGCCGATCTTCCCACAAACTGGATTGGGTTATCATAAAAGTGTCTGGAAGAAGAAGGTCAAACACCTAATTGGGTTTTTTAGGCCTTTCTGCTGGGGCTAAGGCCAATCTCTGCTTTCTTCTCCTATCAATGTAGACCCAGGAAAGAACATGCAGGGAAAGGCAACCCCTCCCATGCTTCTGCCTCCCTGGTGCTTCCTAGAGAAGTCCCTCCTGCCTTCCCATCCTCTGTCCTCCTCCCCAAAACATTGTTCAGCATTAAGAGACCAGAGAAAGTAGTACTCACATCGTCTGTAGCAGAGGGTTCCCCATGAAGGCCTTTTCTGGGATGGCCTTGATGTTGTTGTTATGGAACCCCCTGGAAGACAACACCCGGGAACCGGTGAGGATTTGGAGAAAAGTATAGAGAGGGAGAGGCATGGAATTTTTACAGCAAGCTAGATAGTCCATAAGATAAAAGAGGCATTGGCCTGGAGATTCCAGGTTCAGATTCAAATACTGCCTGTGATTTTTCTTTTTTTTTTTTTTTTTTTTTTGAGACAGGGTCTCTGTTGCCCAGGCTGGAGTGCAATGATGCGATCTCGGCTCACTGCAGTGCAGCCTTGACTTCCTGGGCTCAAGCGATTCTCCTGCCTCAGCCTCCTACATAGCTGGGACTACAGGCATGTGCCACTGCACCTGGTTAATTTTTTTGATTTTTTTTGTAGAGACGAGATCTCACTTTGTAGCCCAGGCTAGTCTAGAACTCCTAGGCTAAAGTGATCCTCCTGTCTCGGCCTCCCAAAGTGTTGGGATTACAGGCATGAGCCACTGTACCCAGCTGATTTTTCTTCCTGTTCAATTACACACCCTCCTTTCCCTAACAAGTGTGAAAAGACTGAGGGATTGAGACCTTGCTGCGGGCCTCAGGAAGCCTGTGGGAGCAACTCAAGAGCAAGAGGCTGAGTTCAGGCCCCAGGAAGGGAATCCTCTCCTGAGTCACTTGTGGTGGGAGCTCTGACGGGTCCCCACAGAGGAAGCCAAGGGTGTATGAGAGAAAAAGGAAGATACAGAAAAGACACAGCTTCCAGGGGATCCCAAGTGAGGGATGTTCCTCAAATGGAGGCTGGCTTGGCCTCAAGGTCCTGAAATAAAGAAACATAGAAGTGTCAACAGCACGCAGTCAGGGGGATAAGGTGCGGAATGGGCTGCTGAATGACTGTGGATGGCACTACAGGAAAATGAGGACTGAGGCACCCAGCTAAGGGTCTGGAAGTCTAGAAGCCAGAATTATGTGTTTGGTTAGTTGGGAAGAACATTTCAAAATAAATAACATGTTGGACTGAAAAGCACATAACCTGTGTGGAGCAGGCCCCTTTCCTTCCCATCTTTTTCATTGGAAGTTTCTGGCTTCTCTGTCCCCCTGACCTTTGCTCATCTCTGTCTTCCTCCTGCCGTCCCATCATGACTTCCACCTTCATGCTGTCTCACTCACAGCTTCACCCTCAGACACCTCCAGTCAGTGCCACCAACCCAGGCCTGTTTGTTCATTAATTTACTCCTCTCATCTGCTCATTATGTTTTTCTTAAACATCTTTGTGTCTAATGGTGGGCCAAGCTCTGAGGGATTTAGAAGTTTCTAAGACAGTGGCCCTGTCCTCAAGCAGCTTTCTCTCAACAGATGACAGAGAGAGATGGAGATAGACAGGTACATCCCCTCCCATATATTTTTGCCCCTGCTAACTTAGGTCTCCTCTCTCTTCCCTAATGCTTTATTATTTCCCAGCTCAATGCTTTTGCATATCCTATTCCCTCCATGCCCTCTTGATCGATCAAATCTCATGCTCCCCTTATGCCCCAGCTCAAAGGAAAAAAGGTAGATCTTGGTGACTCTGGCAATGGAGAACTTCCAACAGTTTCTCACTCAGACTTTTTTTTTTTGAGACAGAGTCTCACTTTGTTGCCCAGGCTGGAGTACAGTGGTACAATCTCTGCTCATTGCAATCTCTGCCTCCTGGGTTCAAGTAATTCTCATGCCTCAGCTTCCCAAGTAACTAGGACTACAGGTGTGCACCACCATGCCGAGCTGATTTTTGTATTTTTAGTAGAGACAGGGTTTCACCATGTTGTCCAGGTTGGTCTCAAACTTCTGACCTCAAGTGATCTGCCCACCTCGGCCTCCCAAAGTGCCGGGATTACGGGCATAAGCCACCACACCCAGCCAGACTATTTCCTCTAGGTGGTCCAATTGTTCCCTATGTGCTGCCTACATCTGGCATTCACACCTGCAAACTTCTGGTTGAGGCAAGGGAGGTGGCATGGGGCTAGTACTATAGGTCTCAGGTGGTAGTGGTGGTTTGAGCTATAAAGATACTAAGCTGGCCAGGAACAGTGGCTCACGCCTGTAATCCCAGCACTTTGGGAGGCCGAGGCAGGCAGATCACGAAATCAAGAGATAGAGACCATCCTGGCCAACATGGCGAAACCCCGTCTCTACTAAGAATACAAAAATTACCTGGGTGTGGTGGCGCGTGCCTGTAGTCCCAGCAACTCGGGAGGCTGAGGCAGGAGAATCGCTTGAACCTGTGAGGCGGAGGTTGCAGTGAGCAAAGATCGTGCCACTGCACTCCAGCATGGCGACAGAGTGAGAGTCTGTCTCAAAAAAAAAAAAAAAAAAAAAAGATACTAAGCTGCCTGAAAGTTTGGGGCTCTGTTTATGAGCCTCCAGGACCCTTAATCTGGTCCCACTCTCGCTGTACAATAGAGCTGTTATTGTTTCCTGAGAGCTTCCCTCCAGTAAAGCTGCTTCCCACCTGTGCTCATCCTTCTGCCAGCTCAACTTCCTACCTGGGTCTTTACCTACAATTTCTTCCTCTGAAATGCCTCTCCCCTCCCCCATCACTGCTACCTCAATCCCGGTCATCCTTTAAGGCTCATCTCAGGATTAGTCCACAATGATCTTTCCATGTTACTCTGAACTCCCGCCATTGTTTTAGCCAATATTCTGCAATTTATGGTTGGAATTATACCACTTTGTCCCACTCCCTGTTTTACCTATGTTACTTTGTGTCTTCATTGAGGCTTAAGGATGTTTGGGGAGGGCCATGTCAATCTGACCCTTCATTTGTGTTTATCACTAAACACAGTGCTGGCCACATTGGGTGCTCAGTGAATGCTGAAATAAAATAGTAAATGGTGGCTTTGGGGAACCAGAGACAACTTCTCAGTCCCCCTGGGGACAAGGTGCTGAGGAGTGATCCTGTAAACCAGCTCTCAGTTCCTTTCCCCATTCTTCTCTGGGCACATCCCAACCAAGGCAAGGGCAGTGCCAGGCCCAGGCTAATAGAAGGTGGCTTGTGCTATGGGTTTTCCCAGGCTAGAAGGGCCCAGGGCCATTTCTGCTGGTGACATACCCCCAGGAAGTGCCCAAAGCCAAGCTAATGAGGCCTGGGACTACTTAGAGCTGCACTGGGGCTTGAGGAGCTGGGGGACAGGGGCAGCTACATCTTTTACAAGGACCATGGGAGGTGAGGAGGTGAGAACATGAGGCAGCTCAGGCTGGCTTCAGCCCCTGCCCTTGGGACAGAAGGACACCTACAAAAACCAACAGAGGCGCTTACAGTTCCTGCAGTCTGCCCAGGGTCCGGATGGCCACGGGGAATTCCTGTAGCTCGTTATAATTCAGGTCTCTGGAACAGAAAGCAGAGCAGTCATTAGAGCAAAGGCTTAATGGGGCATGTCACGGTCCCTGAGAAATGGAAACTTGGCTCTGGGCTTGGCCAGGGAGATGAGTTTTCCAATCTGTTGGATCCAGCGGCCAATGTCTGGAAACACATTTTTGGAATGTTTGTGCTCCATTCCTGTTCCACAAATCCTCAGGCGTGGAATCTTCCTGGCTGCAGAACTGTTTTGAGGCAGGAAACATACTTCAGGGGTGCAGATACCTGGAACCATCTCCCTCAGAATAGACCCTGCCAACTGAAGAAAGCATCTCAAGCCTTTGGAGACATCAGAGGAGTGGAGGAAGGGGTGATGTGGGTGATCATTAACATCTTATAATCAGCACTAGGGATTCCAGAAGGTTCCTCAGGTGACTACTGTGGTCTCCATCTGTGGTCTTTGCTGTCATCCTCTATAAAAATGGGGGTGTTTCTTCTCTTTAGGTGAAGGCACAATAGCTATTTTCTCTTACACTTTTCTGTACTTTCCAGTTTTTGTTTTGTTTTGCAATGAGCATATATCACATGTGTAATCAGAAAACAATGAAGGTAATTTTAAAAAGGGGTAGTAACCCAAGTTGGCAAGAATGTGGGGAAACAAGCATTCTGATAAATTATTAGTGGGAATTTAAATGTGTACAACCCTTTAGAAACTATTTGACATCTTTTCAAATTAAAATATTCATACCCAGGTACTCCAAGTCTAGAAATGTATAAGGATAAGTATAAGGTTGTTCAGAACAGCACTGCTCAGGCACCAGCGGCAAAATATTGACCCACAAGTGACCACAGCTTCACTCCATCAACTCTTTTAAGGAAGCTTCTGTGTCTGTGCCTTTTGTGGAGATGACAGGGTAAGAGAAGGAAGAGAAATGGAAGAGGCTGAGGGTAACTTTTATTTTCATCAGAAAAGATTTGGAATTGCTTGTGACAAATAGAAAAGAGCCCCAAAGACAGGGGAGCCCCAGGGAAAGAGGTCAGCATTTTGAGGGAGATAGTAAAGAGTGACTGGGAAGTAGAGAGTAAGAACTACAGGGTACTTCTAGAAAGTTGTACTCCCTGTTACGTAATGAGATCCCCTCTCTACCATCAAAGAGCTTCCAAAATTTTAAAGTTGGCTTTCATTTTACTCAGTAGTCAATGACTTAACCCCATGTGGAAATGTGACTGATTTGGGGATGTCTTGATGCCTCTTGAATCCTGTTTCTGGGGTCCTGGGGTTTGGCAATAGGTTGGGGGAAGACTCAGTTACAGCGTTCCTCCCTAGCCTCCCAGGATGACCCCAGCCCACCTCCTCAGCCTTTTAAAGCCACCCCTGCCCTGACAACTTTCATGGTTGTCCATCCAATGCCAGGGCAGGGGGACCACGTGGAGGCCCTTTAATTATAGGTGACTTGGCAGGGTTCTGTGGATAAATACCATGTTAACACGGAGATAATGACAGGCTCCTCTGCGTGACAGGTCATTACACTTAATAGTCCACAGGTAGAGCCAGGAACCCAGCCCAAGGGCCAGAGGGGCAGTGACAAGCGTCTGGCAGCCAGTGAGCCAGATAATTGTCCCTCACTACACACACACACACACACACACACACACACACACTAATTACCCGATTACCCTCAGACTACCCTGGTGATCTTGGGTAATTACAGTAGAAAATCCCTTCTGCCTTGCTTCTCTTTGCTCCATTCTCTAGTGAGTCAGACGCCTTTGCCTCTCATGCGTCAAACCTTGTTGATTCGCTCACAGAGAGGCTCCCACAGACTGTGTGAAGGATGTGGTCAGGCGGAGGCCAGGATGTGTGCAAAGCACTTTGACTAAAACCAGAGGTATTGGAGTTGGAAACAGAGAGGAATTTTCAAACTGTGGAGTTCCTGGAGTTCTACCAGGTGCTACAGAAAATGCCTAGAAAACCGGACTGGGAGAATTGAAGGATGGCAGCAGGGATGAAAGCGATGGCCTCTCTTTTTGGTCTTAAATTGTATACATGATTCATTCTCGTATCTCAGGTTCCAAAAGCAGGTGTTCCCCCTCCATCTTGGCTCAGCGCACTCAGGAATTCTCCACTGTTGCCTGAGAACTAGATTTCCCACAAATGACATGGAAGTATCTTTATTGAAAAGTGGTTTATTTTTTCTTTTTGAGATGGAGTCTTGCTCTGTCACCTGGGTAGGAGTGCAGTGGTGTGATCTCAGCTCACTGCAACCTCAATCTCCCAGGTTCAAGTGATTCTCCTGCCTCAGCCTCCTGAGTAGCTCGGATTATAGGCATGTGCCACCACGCCCGGCTAATTTTTGTATTTTTAGTAGAGACGGGGTTTCACCATGTTGCTCAGGCTGGTCTCAAACTCCTGACCTCAGGTGATCTGCCCACCTCGGCCACACAAAGTGCTGGGATTACAGGCATGAGCCACCGTGCCCAGCTGAAAAGTCTTCATATTGCATTATTATCTCAAATGCAAAGTATTGCTTCGGTCTGGCTTCAGAGACTTTGCTTGCTATTCCAAAGGCCTAGCATGCTCTCCCCCAAATACTTCCATGGTTTACTCACTCGCATCATTCAGGTCTCTGCCCAAATTATACCTCATCAGAGAGCCCTTCTCTGACTACTCTATCTAAAATAGCATATCCTGTCATTTGCTGTTCCCTTATCCAGTGGGGTAGATTTAAAATGATCACAAATCCTTTGCAACTTCTCCTCTCAAGATGTGACATCTACCTTGGGCTGGGATGGCCTTGTGACTAGCAAGGTCCAACAGAATAAGATGGAAGTGATACAGTGTGACTTGGTCCCTAGTCACATGAGGCCTCACAGCCTCTGCCTTTGCTTCCTTAGAATGCTCCCACCACTACGTAAGAAATTCCAGGCTAGACTCTTGAATGATGAGGGCCATGTGCAGAGAGAAGACCAGCCGACAGCCAATACCAAAGCCCCAGACATATGAGTGGCCTCCCCAGACCTCCTAGCCCTAGTTGAGCGTCCAGATGACTGCAACCTCATGAATGAGCCCAGGGGATGGCTCCAGCAGAAGAACCACCCTGATGAGCCAGCAAAGCCATAATTCATGAGAAATAATAAAGTGATATTGTAAGCCACTAAATTTTGGGGTGATTTGTTATGTAGCAATATAGAATGAGACGGCTTCCGTTCTTTCTCTTCACAGAACTTAGTCACCTGACATATATTTTTGTTTATTTTCTTCCCACCCAATTAGAATGAAAGCTTCTTGAAAATAGAAACATTGTTTCATATTCTCTCTAAACACCAGAATAATCCTGGCATATAGCAGGAGTTCAACAAATACTTCATGGATGAAGCAGTGAAGACATCTAAATAAACTGATTAATGAAAACACTAATAGACTCTTAAGAGAATCTAGAGTATTTGGGGGAACATCCTTAAGATTTTGAGGCTGATGTTGCAAAAGACACAAGATAGTCCTGAGTGGCTTGCCTGGGGCCACAGAGACCATGGGATGGTTTCATGTGACTTTGCTATCATTAAGTCCTTATACAGTTCTTTGGACCCATGTCCAGGCAATCATTGAGTAGTTCCAGCCCTCCTTGGCAGTTTCTGGTCAGGAATTTTGCAGGAGTGGCCTAACAGACAGTAGCAAAAGACATATGGCAAAAGGCATGTGAACTAGAAGTCTCTTTTTGTCAAGAAATGTGAAAGAATAAAAGCTGTGTAAAGGTCAAAGAGAATTCTGCAAACTCCATGCCAATGAGGTGGCCGGAATTTTCCCATTTGGACATCTACACAGATTTAATGACCTGGGAAACTGCCAAAGTCCTGCTTCATATAGTACCATGTAGATGTAATCTGTGCCTCTAATTGTCCAGGGAACACGTCTTTGCAACTCTCTATGCTCCTGATGAAATCAACTCAGTGCAATGAACATTTCTTGCCTCCTCGAAATACACAAAGAATTCTGCTGGGTAAAGTGGAAGGTAGAGAGATGGGTTTGAAAAAAAAAAAACCCACTCCTATCTAGACAAATGCACAAGATGATGAAAGAGCATCTTTGACATGACTGTGGAGAGCACACGAAGCATCAGGACCTTCACAGACTGCAGTGATCACACAGAGCTGGGAAGACCATGAGGGCTTCATGGAAATGTGACATTTGAACCAGGTCTTGATAGAACAGCAGGATTTCAATACGAAGGGATGAACGGATCAAGGCAAGAGAGCATAATTTAGAGGAAGTGAGTGCTGTGGAGTCGTGTTTAGAAAAGAGCAAGCAATATAGCTTGGTTGGAGCAAAGGGCAATACTTGGAGGTAATTCTATAGGGCTCTCTCCTCTGGACTGTTGTACACTTCTTATCTGCTATCCCTGCCTCCAAGTCATCCATATGATAACCTTGCTTGAGCACTGTATGTGTGCCAGCCCCTAAGTGTTTTGTCCGAATAATCTCTTAATCCTCACAACAGCCTCAAGAGGCAGTTACTACTATTATACCCATTTGACAGTTGAGGAAAGCGAGACACAGAAATTAAATTAGTCACTCAGTCACAGAACTGATACCTGTCTGTGGCAGACTCCACTGCCTGTAAGTCACAATCTACTCTCTCTTTTCTCCATAGTTGCACTGACCAATACAATAGCCACTAGGCATGTGTGGCTATTCAAATTAACTACAAATAAATAAAATGTAAGATTTAGCTCTCAGTTTCACTAGCCACACTTCAAGTGCTCAATAGCAACTTGTGGCTAGCAGCTATCACATGAGAAGAACAGATGCAGAACATTTCCATCATCCCAGAAAGTTCTATAGGGCAGTGCTAGCTTATCGTAATAGGAAGAATGCCAGGAATGGAGCGAGAGTGGACTTCTCAGCCTCTCTCACAGTGGGTGTGTCAGAAGTGGTGCATACCGCATCTAGTCCAGGATTTATAAAATTGACAACTTGTCTCCTCACTGGTCTCTCTACCCTTCCACCAGCTAGAGGCCAAAAACAGTGAGGCC